TCGGTGGCTCACGCCTATAATCCTAGGTACTCAAGAAGCTGAGATCTGAGGATCGTGGTTCAAATCCAGCCAGGGGAACAAAAGTCTGTCAGACTCTTATCTCCAATAAATCACAAGGAAACTGGAAGTGGTGCTGTGGCTCAAGTGGTAGAGCGCTAGCCTTGAGCTGAAGAGCTGAGGGACAGTGCCCAGGAACAGAGTTCAAGCCCCATGACCGACAAAAAAAAATAGGGAAAGAGGCATGGCTCAAATGGAAAAGCACCAGCCTACCAAGCACAAGACTGAGTTCAAATGCCAATATCCTCCCCCCCCCCCAAAAAAAAAGGGAGAAAAAGGTTATGTTTTCCAGAAAGGCATTTTAATTATACCAAATTTACTGGAACCAAATCAGGGATGATTCTTATTAAGAAGAAAAAACAGCTGTCACATAGATGTTAACTGAATAGGATGTCCCTGTGACTAGGTACCCGGCCAAGCCCATGGAATTGCTGAGTGGCCTTCAGACCTGGTTGTTTTGGGGTCTCCTGCCAAGAGAGAACCCACCCAGTGTTTATAGGCTCCCAGGTAAGAGCCATTCATAAGGAATTACTAAGTTAAATATTATTAACTAACAAGAAAAAAAATGTATGATTAAAGAGCTGGGCAAGCGAGAGAGAGAGAGAGAAAGAAAGAGAGAGAGAGAGAGAGAGAGTGTGTGTGTGTGTGAGTGTGTGTGTGTGTGTGTGTGTGTGTGTGTGTAAAGCAAATCCAATTTGAACATTACTAAGTCTAGGCAAATCCTTGAAACAATTTAATTTTCAAGATAAAATTGGATTGAGCTTATGTGAGCAGGTTCTCATCTTAGCCTAAACATAGAGAACTTCTGCATGAAATATAATTTAACATTTTAAATAGAACGCCAGGCCTGGAAGCTTAGGAGGGAAATCCCAGATGCCAGAATTGGAGAGGAAGCCACTCAACAATGAATGGACTGGGGAGCACATGGGTGGGCGGGGAGAGCTGTGTGTGCAACTCAGGCAAGGCGTCCACACTGTGCAGGACATTACACAGCATGTACAACAGGGGTGTATCAGGCACAGATGATAAACTTCCAACCTGAACAAGGCCCAGAGCTGTAACAGGACTCTCTGCATACAGCTGAACTCAAAGAGCTGCCACTCACAAAACCAGAAGCAGAAATTCTCCATCCATGGCCTGGGAAAGAGGCAAGGAAGCTTACTACCGGTCCATGCTGAGCACAATAAGAATCATATATCCACCAGGCCTGGACTATCAGAATTCACAACTTTTATGGTGAAGGAACCCCCAATTGTGAATTAAAGGAAAACAGTGAACATAGAAGGTTCCCAGCAGCAGAAAACGGTAAAGTTTTTCTGCAGGAAGCCAGCATGCCAGAGCACATGAGCGTCAGATGGGAAACAGCCTCCAATGAAGATGAGCTAATAAAAGCATTATAAACCCCAGGAGAAACAAACCACCATGCAGGAATGTCAGCAAACCCAACACCCTGAAGGAAACAGCACAGAGCGGCCTAAAATTCTTACAAGGGTATTTAAAGCATCCAGCAGGAACAGAAGCCAAAGGCCAGACAGAATGTTAGAAAAATAAAACAAACAAAAATGGAAACCAAAACCAAACTCTAGAAATAAAAAGGAGAAGAAGAGGAGGAAGAGGAGGAGGAGTCTAGAAAAGAACCAAATAAAAATTAGAGAAATAAAAAATACAGTCACTGAAGTTAAGAAATGAAATTTCCGTATATAGGTTACACTAAAACTGGGGAATGAAGTGGCAAGCTGGGAGACATTGCCTATTATGTCTCTGAGAGACAGACACAGAGAGGCTTTTAAAACTATCAGAGAAAAACTAACACGGGACATTTACAGTGAGAAGCTTCCACGGATACCTAACAGTGTCCAGATGAGAATGGAAAGAATGGAAGAAAGAAAATAACAAGATAAACTCAGAATTTTCAAGAAAAAAGATATATTCTTAAAAGAAACAAGTTGACCAAGTTTGAACAATATATTTAAAAGTTTATCAACCTAGACATAAGGGAGTCCACATCACAGAATATATCAAAAGCCTCTAGAGAGAAGCACAGCAACTGCTTTTATGCCAGTACCAAGGCTTGAACTCTTACTTGGCTGACACAATACCACTTGAGCCACACCCCTACTTCTGACTCTGTGCTGGTTAGAGGTAAGAGTCTCTAGGATTTCTCTGCCCCCGCTAGCTTTGAACCCAGCAAAAGCAGACTTTCAATCAACCACAAAGAAGTCAGAAGGTAATGGAATCACCCTTTCAATTAAACAATTCCTTAATCTGATGCTGAAGTTAGTCTATGCCTTCTTATTTTAGGGGGCTGAGGGGACGGATGGGTACTGGGGCTTGAACTCGGGGCTGGGGTTATCCTTTAGCTTTTCTGCTCCAGACTGGGCACTCTACTAGTTGAGCCACGGCTCCCTTTCCAGTGTTTTGGTGGTTAGGTTACGAAATAAGATTGTCACAAACTTTCCTGCCGATGTTGAATCCTCAGATCTCAGCCTTCTTGAGTAGCTAGGATTACAGGTGTGAGCTTTTCTCTATGCCTTTTTAATCCCCATGGCAGCCCTTGTACTTCAGACTTGGCACTTCTGGTGCATGCTAAGATGGGATGCTATGAATCCACGATTTCCATCCCATAAAGAAACATCTGGAGCAGAGAAAGGAGAGACAAGTCTAAAGAAAGCCCCCAGTGCATCTCTTTTTTTTTTTTTTTTTCGGTCGTGGGGCTTGAACTCTGGGCCTGGGCACTGTCCCTCAGCTCTTCAGCTCAAGGCAAGCGCTCTACCACTTGAGCTACAGCGCCACTTCCGGTTTTCTGGTGGTTTATTGGAGATAAGTCTCACGGTCTCTCCTGCCCGGGCTGGCTTTGAACCGCAATCCTCAGATCTCAGCCTCCTGAGTAGCTAGGATTACAGGCGTGAGCCACCAGCACCCGGCTCCCAGTGCATCTCTTTCCTCTAAGATGTCCTGTAGTGGTAATGTCACTTTCCCTAAGTTTCCCATCCCCCAAATGCCCAGGTAGCTGCCACTGCTGGTCCCATAGCCCTGGGAGAGAAACACCTAACTGAAGGGTGCCTAGGGCTTGGGAAGGGTTCACTCTGGTTTTCTCCACCTCAGTAGGAAAGAAGTGACAGTCAGATAGAAATCCAATCACAGGTCTATAAAGCCCAAGGATGGGGTAAAAACAAGCAAAATGGACCAGCTGCAGGCTAAGAGGGAAGGAATGGTGGGGAATTACGGGGACTTTCCCAGAAATCCTACCTTTTGAAGAAACCCTAGAAATTCTTCTGGTTATTCTTGGTTAAATCTTGTCTTTGTAAACGTTGGTAAGTCAGGATGCCATTACAACAGAAAGGATCTGCACAGACTGGGCCCGCTAAGGGAACAGTCACTTTACACAGTCAATACTGTTTTCCCCCTCAAGGAGCAGCAGGGACTCTTAGGAGACACAGGATGCTGCATGCCCTGGACACCGGGGCTGTGTGGGCAAAGAAATCTGAGCCTGCTCACTGAGCTACACAGTGACTCCCTTTGTATCTTCTCAGCTTAGAGAAAAGAAATTTGCATAACTTAGACCTGACGCTTCCTTCAAAACTCCCATTCTTTACTCGATTTCCTGTGTTACAAGCAGCTTTTCAGGATGCCTGGTATTCACTGTCAAGAATCTCACTGTCTGCAACTGGTTCTGCCCTGGAGAGCTTCAGAGAGCCAGCTCTGAATAAGCACTGTGGAATAGCCGCGGGTATTCACATGCTGAGCAGTGCCCACAGCCAGTCCTTGATCCTCTGCCAGCTTCCAACCAGCATCTCAGTGGAGACACACCCCATCCGTCTGGAGATAAAGCCCGATAAGTGGAAGAAGTGGGGGAAGGAATACAATCATTAGTGCAGACCAAATGAAAAATGTTTTGGTTAGGAGGCCAAGGCTCTTGATAAGTAATAAGACTCCAACTACAGGGCTGGGGGGTGTGGTTCCAATAGTAGAGTATCTGCCCAGCAAGTAGCAAGGCCTTGAGTCCAACCCTCAGTCCCATCAAAACTAAAAACAAAACAAAACAAGCTCCAAGCAGACATCTGGTCTGGATGTGGCTGACTCAACTGATAAGGGCCTACGAGACAGGACGGAGTGATAATAATGTCAATGACACTTGTGAGCAGGAAGAAGCCATACTCCACAATAAATGATGATCCCTAGTTCCTCTTAGAGGCTGAGGCCATTTATATTTAAAACCTTTTTCTGTCTTCCTATTACTCCATCACTATGTTGGTTTCCCACCCATGGAAAAGACCTAGGAGAGTAGACAACAGCCCAGGAAGGATTCCGAAGAACACAGGCCGCCAAAACATTCCCACTTTGCTGATCACCCAGCCCTACGCAGCCCGAAGAGGTGCTAAGAGCTATTGAGGCTGCCAAAGATGAGCTGCAGGGAAAGGATGGCTCACAGGATTCAAAACAGCTCCCCTCCCCTCAATGCCAGCAGAAGGCCAAGAACTACAAGTGACATAATGGGATGGAAGGAGCCTGGATCCTTGAGTCATCGCATAAGGGAGAGCACCAAAGAAAACAGATCAGGTTTTACACAAGCTAAACTTTTCAAAGACCCACAGATATTCAAGAATTGCATCTTAGTACAGCCCAGGTAAGCCCCTAGATGGCAGGCCTGGCAGGGTTTGCAGCATATGCTATTACTCAGCCTCGGGTAGAGTTTCTTAGAAGGGACCAAACACAGGCATTCTATTCAAGAGAATGCACACTGCCAAACTAGTCTGCCTGGAATCATATCCCAAGTCTATAAGTTCCTGTTTGAGTGTAATCATGGGCAAGTTATTTATTCTCTCTAAGCCTTAGTTTCCTTATCTCTCAAATCTTGGGACTAAGGTTTTCCTCCTATGCTATTTCTCTACTCTTAGGTACTAAACAGAAAGACAACAGACCACTTACCCAATGCATGGATTCGTCTGGTACCTCGGTGCTGTGTAGGAAAAAGGAGAGATGTCCTTGTCAACAAAGGACCCAAAACCCAACCGGAAGTTGCTCGTGAGCTTCCTCATCTCCTCGGCAAGCTTGGTGCCCAGGTTGCGAATGCTGTCCAAGTCGTCCTTCATAGAGAGGGAAAGGTCCATCAGGTAGTACAGATCCACAGGGTAGTCTTCCACCTGGCGCACTTGGAGCTGGAAAGTAGTCTGGTCACCTGTGCCAACAGAATGCCACACATTAGGAGCCACAGACACTTGCTGGGAGCTGAAAGGGTGGATTTTCACTCTTTCAAAACTGATCTACCAACCTCTTTATTTTAGTGGTTCCAAGAAGAAAGATTTTTCTTGGAGTGCCAGAAGGGAATAATATGGCACTGAGGGTAAAGCCCTAGGTTCTCCAGCCCCAGAGGGAAACTGTACATGTGTGAAACAGAAAGCAGGGAACAGTTAACAAGGAAGGTAAGAGCCAGGTGGAAAAAGGGAAGATGAACAGGTCAAGGGAGGGCAGGTGATGAAGACAGTCACTTAAAACATCCCAAAGGGCAGGCTCTATTTCTTTTCCCAGACAGTTGATCTTCAGGAGGACTTTGTTCTTAAGTGTATCTGGGAACATCCAGATAGAACTCATTATCATCAGAAATTATACGTATAAAACCAAAAACACAGATTTTGAACTTTAGCTTTATTCAAAAGTCATAGCTGAGCCTCAGTAGCTTAGGCCTATAAACGTAGCTGCTTAGGCAGCTGAGATCAGGAGGACTTTGGTTTGAGGCCAGTCTGAGCAGAAAGTTAGTAAGACTCTTACCTCAATGGAATAAGCATATGTTGGCTACAGTGGAAAACGTAAAATAGGAAGATCATAGTTCATGCCTGGAAAGGAAGGAAGGACTATCTTAAAAATAAAAAAGCCTGAAAATATGGTGGAAGGGAGGGGGTGAGGGAGGAAGGGAAGAAGGGAGGGAGAGAGGGAAGAAGGGAGGGAGGAAGGGAGGGAGAGAGGGAGGGAGGGTCTCAAGTGGTAGAGCATCTACCAAGTAAGCAAGCATGTGTCCTTGAGTTCAAACCCCAGTACTGTCAATAAAAGAAATGAAAATGGGAGGGGAAAAATAGAGAAAAGTAAAACACTGCTATATCTGTCTATCAGCTACAAGGAAAATAGGTTTTGGCTCTACAATAAGACAGCCAACAGATGAAGAAAGAAGGATTCATTCAGAATAATAAAACAAGAGGATAAGTCGAAGTCTAGCTGTGTGGCCTTTGCTCCCTTACCTCCAGGGCTTACAGAGAGGGCCAAATCAAGGACAATAACTTGGGGAATCCAAGCCAAGATAATGTTTCCTCAATCCTTTCAGAACTTCTGAAGACAAGTATCTTAGAACTGACTATAAGCTGCTACTCATACCACCAGGTAATTGAATCTGCCTTGGGCTTACTGAGTGTATCAGGAAATATCCTATGTATCCCAGAACAGAACTGTCCACGCACACTGAAACTGAGATAGATTCTGTGTGTGTAGTAGATGTACAGAGCCATGGAGCCCTCACTGCTGCACAATCCGAGCAGCCAATCCTGCACCTTTGCCAGCGATCGCAACCACTAAAGCCTGCTGTTCCTACAGGACAGAGGACTCAGTCCTCCATCCCACATCCCTTTCCTACACAAACAAGGCCTGCTTCATGAACCAGACGAAGAGGAATCCAATAATGTTAAGATCTTAGCTGAAGTTCCAGCTTTCTCCCTCAACCAGCTGCACAACCTGTGCCTCAGTTTCCATATACAGATGACACAGGATTATTGTAATTACTGTGCATAGGCAAAGAGGTGGTTACTAGCCTGTTTCCCCTGACTTGTTTTTGCCTGTATTGCCCTTCTACCTCAAAACGGATGCCCTTTGAGTTCCCTCTTGGTATGAGCCTATTTTTAAAAACCATCTGAGTCTGACTCAAACAAAAGAATGTTCATGATTTCCTTCAGAATGAATTTCTGGAGTGCTGCAGAGTCTCTGGCTCCTGTCAGACAGACAGGGCAGGTCTCTCCACAGGGCCTGCTTCTTGGATGTCTGCAGCAGAGGGGCGGGGGAGGAGTCGGGGAGAACTCCCATGGCCTCTCCATAGGCAGATTGTCTCCCAATTCTACAGCCTCTGTGAAGGATTTCTTGCTGCATCTGCTGCTTCTGGGGCTTGAACTCAGGGCCCGGGCACTGTCCCTGAGCTTTTAGCTCAAGGCTGACTACCATTTATACCACAGATCCACTTCTGGCTTTTTGGTGGGTAGTTGGAGATAAGTTGGACTTTTCTGCCCAGGCTGGCTTTGAACCATGATCTTCAGATCTCAGCCTCCTGAGTAGCTAGGATTACAAGCATGAGCCACTGATACCCAGTGTAAGGAATCTCTTGACATTGTTCTGAGAAATTGATCTCTCTCTCTCTCTCTCTCTCTCTCTATCTCACACACACACACACACACACACCTTACCACAGGAAGGCTACAACTGTTAAAAGTAAGTTTTCCAAAACAAAAGTCTAAGAAAGCCAATAGTATCATTCACACTTAGAATGAAGCTTTATTATCACCATTAGTAACATGTTTGATTTGAAATGCCACAAACTCCTAGATGGGCTTTGGTACTCATAGAACAGGTCAGCTGGACCTTCCTTCCCAACTCCCAGTGTGGACACAGTGAAGTGGCCCAGCATGGCAGGTGTGGAGCATGCC